TGGTCGGGCATGTAATTGGTGAAGTCAGAGAAGCTAAGTTATAGATGTCGTAAACGCATAATTAAAATTTTGTTTAATGAATTTAGCACATGGTACTGGTCAGTGTTTCAAGGTACAACCATAACATTACATCATTATATATCCCTAAATATCTCACTCAATATCATATTGTGCGTGTCTTATTTTTGCAGCTTCATCGTTCTAGTCTTGATGATTTCATGCTTTTTTTTAAAAATGGATTGGGATCAAGAAAACCAAGTGAGTTCTACTTATCCTTGTTTTGTTAATATCCCAATCCTTTTCTGCTTCTAAATTAGTAAGTCCTATCATGCGTAACAAACTAATACGTGAAATACTTACACGAACAGTTTAATATTGTTTCTTTTTAAAGTCATAGTTGTCATAATCGTTTTTCAGCGGGTAGCTTACTAATTACAATCTCATTGCCGTTTATCGGTATCCAGGAGACTGAAAGTTTTCGAATTCTACTAATTTAGGGTATGGTGTTGTGGAGGTTGCTGAATTTTATTGAAATCATGGACGGAACAACGTTAGAATATCATTGGTCGGTTCATGATTTTAATGAAACTGCTAATATCATTTATGAAACCTGACCATTGATAAATTGTTCTGTGGTGCATTAAAGGTAATATTTGTCTTATACTTAACTGAAATCGTTGATACATAAAGAGAAATCGCAAATAAGGGTTTCTGATAAAGTTTAGGTGGAAGGGTAATCCAACTGCATGGTAAACATGCATGACACATTTGGGTCTTTCCATGTAATGAGGTGACCAAGGAAAGCAGTACGTTGACTATTTTTATGTCTACCGTATTCACTACTCTATGGGTTTTTCATTTCATGTTTATATATAGCTCGTCGAATATCCTGCAAGGATCTCGGAAAAGGAGATTGTCAAGGTTGGCTTTGGTTGAAGAAAACCAATCCACTTACTAGTAAATATGTGAAACGTTGGTGTGTCTACAAAAACTCAACATTCTATTATTACAGAAATCCTGAAGTAAAGTTCTAACTTATTTGTTAAAAATAGGGAAACATTTATTTCCCTTATTTTAGGATGATTCAGCTGAAGGCTTAATTCTGTTGCATGGTTTCACAATCACTCCTGCAGTCTCAGCGAAATCGGGAAAATTGTAAGTCATTTCCATTGCATAATCGATTATCCCCTTAAAATGTTCATTGCATTGAGCACTTATAGCCTGTTGGGATAGCCTATTGGTAATTATGGCATTCTCAACAAGAAATTGTCGGAACACAACCATTTCGGGAAGAAGAGAAAAAGGGGGTCTAGCTGAAAATACTTAATGTGTCACATACTAACCGTTCTAGCCAGGACGCAGCATTTGCAATTGTAGACATTAGGTTCAGTATACAGCTGAGAATGTAAGAAGCAGCTCCCTGAATATCTGAAAGTATCCCTGGATAAGGACTGATCAGACTGACCAGTTGCAGTCCTAAACACATCGATGGGAAGATCCAAACAAACAATACTAAGTGAATTCAAACTTCACCCCAGGGTACTGGGTTCGAGTCCCAGAGTGAACATCAACTCTGAGATGCAGGTACATCCAGCTGACGAGTCCCAAATAGGACGAAACGCGCGTCCTGGATTCCACTGCTAGCCACTATCCATCTCTGCTTACCATGCTTGTGAATTAAGGTATATCGAGGCAATACGCACAGTATGCACATATGCCAATTAGAGACTGACCAGTTGCAGTCCTAAACACATCGATTGGAAGATCCAAACAAACAATACTAAGTGAATTCAAATAATCACTTAGTCCGTTGTATATCAAGGGAAGCCGAATTGTATGAACATATTTCACGATAACGTGCAATCGAATGTATCTTTTGCATTAACGACGTTCTAGTAACATTTAATAAACCTTAATAATTACTTTACACATTCTCATCAATTGGAAACCGTTGAGTCCTTAAGTTGAGATTTCCAGAGGAGATAACTTGTGACATGATTCCACATAATTCATTTATACAGAATAGGTACTAACATACTGCGTAGTGAAACAATATATGTAAAAGCAAACGTAGGTGTTGGAAAACCTATGGTTTTCAATATGTGCAGTTCTTTATTTAAGCCTGTTACCCCAGATGGAACATAGGTCACCGACCAGTTTTCTCCAACCCACTGTCCTGGGCTTTCCTTCCTAGTTCTATCCAGTTGTCGTTCATTCTTCTCATATCTGTTTCCATTTCCCGGCGTAATGTTCTCTTTGGTCTCCCTCTTCTCCCTTGGCCTTCAGGATTCCGTGTGAGGGCTTGTCTTGTGACGCAGTTGGGTGATTTCCTCAATGTGTGTCCTATCAACTTCCAGCGCTTCTTCCTCAACTGGAATCTGGTTTGTTGTCTCTCACAGTAACTTGCTGCTGATAGTGTCTGGCCAACGGATCCGAAGTACCTTGCGTAAACAGCTGTTAATAAACACTTGTATCTTCTAGATGATGGCATTCGTAGTTCTCCATATTTCCGCCCCACACAGTAGAACTGTCTTGACATTTGTATCGAAAATCCTGATCTTGGTGTTAGTTGAGTTCCAGATGTTCTTCATTTGTAGATATGTTGCTCTTGCTTTGTCGATCCTCGCCCTCACATCTGCATCAGATCCACTGTGCTCATCAACGGTGCTGACCAGATATGTAAACGTTTCCACATCCTCCAAAGCTATTTCGTCAAGTATAATTCGATTGGTGCATGCTGTATTGTATCGGAGAATCTTGCACACCGTAGTGTCAAAGAAGCCTCCAGAGTGCTGTTCTGCCCACACTATCAAACGCTTTCTAGTAGTCAATGAAGTTGATGTAGAGTGATGAACTCCATTCAATTGATTGTTCCACAATGATCCGCAGAGTGGCGATTTGGTCTGTACATGATCGATCCTTACGGAATCTAGCCTGTTGGTCTCGAAGTTCCTCGTTCTGTTTAACAACACTCTGTTGAAGACTTCTCCTGGTATTGAGAGAACATTGATGCCTCCGTAATTCTCACACCTGCTGAGATCGCCTTTCATTCTTCCCATACTGTTATTATCGTACCACTTTCCTTTCTCTTCTTTTTATTTCACCTTTCTGCTGGTATCATTTCGCCTCTTATTCCTGATACAAAATGCTTAAGTCTGTCCAAATAAGTAATGCATATGACAAAACTACAAAATAGTTTTCGGTTTATAGCTTCCTTATTATTTAAACCCTTCGATTTAACCATAAGTACCTACTTACCAATTGCTATTTTTAAAACGTACACCGTAGTTATTCGATTTACGTAACTAATACTATCATCGTGTTCTGTGTTCATAGTTTTCGGAAGTAACAGCTGTTTTAAACAAATAACTTCATTTGAATAACTTAGTAATGAGTGGTTTTTCATATTTCATTCCTGATAGCGCATTCTCAATTTTCAATGATTGGGTTCGCTTTGTGTTTGCTTCCGATTCTGAAATTGACCGATCAAAATGGATGAATAAGTTAGGTTTAGCTTCAATCGGTTTGTCATCTGCCATACCGAATTCCCGTATTGGAGGTTTCAATCCTGGCTATGTGGTTTCATGTGACTCAAAAAATGACGAAGTAAAAGCTGAAATATCGCCTCAACATTTATGTCCTGCCTTATCAGATTCACCCACTAAAAATTCCAAAGGCGACAACACATCTGAACTTCGATCTGAAACCTTATCCACCTTCAGAACTACAGATTTCTCAGAGAACTCCTTAACATTTGTGACTTCTCAGGTCAGTCATATCTTGTTAACCCCATAGTTGTCTATAAGTCCTGTCTTTTTCAGCGCTGAAATTTTCATTCATTCTGGAACCACTTCATCATCTGTTTGTATAGTGTCCGATGCAGTAACTTTTGTTTTATTTTTCAGCCTGTATCATCCAACCCAAGGCATGCAGCACTGCATTCAGTTTCATCGCCATCATTTTCTACGTTTGATTTGCGTTCGAGTTCTTTACCATCTGAACCCTGTGCTGACCGTTCTATAGTTTTTCCTCGGAATAGTGCTCTACCGCCCTCACCATCTCCTGCTCGCGCTAGAATTAAGCATCGTCAACCGCTCGAAATCCCTTCAGTAGCATTTGGATGCTATAGTGAGAGTGAGGATGAAATAGACGGGGATGTTGAAGCCGAATGTGATGCGAATGAAATCATTGATGACAACTGTATCTCTGAGGAAGGTACACATCTAAATCTTCGAAATCGACCAGGATCTGCATCCCCATCACATGAACGATATGTTATTTTAAACAGTACAGAAGAAAATGAATGTTTACAAGAATATACAAAGCTGATTTCATGCGAAAGTGAACTACATGTGTCCGATGTACATGCTTCAATACCTTTATCACGTCCATTAAGAGCTGCACATATCATTACGAAAAAAAAAACCTTGTTCTGATAAACTTTCAGGTATCGAAAAGATTTTTGGCGTAAGGAACAACGAATCAGTCCCTGAATGCAGCAGTAGGCGTTCTTATAACTGAAATTAAAAAGCTTTTTTCAAGTTACCATAATCATCTTTGATCATTTGCTATTGAATTGAATTTACTTTTGTCAATTATTTTTTGAATTTTACTTCATCTGTTGTGAAATATCTCACGCTAAGTAGTTATCTTCAGTGTTTTTAATCCGAGAAAGGGTGGATTTTACTGAGCTCAGTATTTTTAAAAATAAATTTGGCATGTTTTATTCTAGCAGTATCAAAGCTAACAAAACATATATAGGCATATAGCGAATAGTGTAACATTTGCTATAAAATCTTGCAATCCTAACTTGAGGGAAATAATTTCGGTTTGTTATTTACTACTGGTTACATCTCTCACAGATATTACGTTTCGTAATATTTAATATGATACATCGTTTCACAAGAAAAAATCTATAAGCCACCGTTGAAATCTACCAAACCTTAAAGATGCCTAACAATTATATACACATAAATGATGAATAGTAAATCAACTGATTGGTAATATCAATAAATATTTTGGAAAATAATCCGTTCTTTAATACGCCATAACAAATGTATAAATTTGTTTTAGTTACATGAACTAAATATGAAAACCAAGAATGATGTATTACATATTAAGTCATCAGGGGATAGTAATATTCATGATAATAAATAAAGCACCACAAAAGATCTTAATATGAATCACATCAACGCCAGTTAGTAAAATGAACCTATAAATATTATTGACAACAGTGACTAGAATATTAAGTGCAAAAATTCAAAGACCAGTAATTGCTATAACAATCCATTCTATTCTTTCCATGTGAGTGACATCGCGGTTTGTAAGAAGGAGTATATATCCACTACCTCGTTGATCTGAAATGCAAATCATCACGGTGATAACTTAATGTATAAAAATGCAAATTGTAATAAATGAGTGCTAATAATAGTTTATTATACATATTTATAAATAACTCAGTAAGACACACATGATAGAATACATGTACAAGAAGAATAAAATGTGATTGGTAATATATGTCATTACAACAGTGAAAGTGGTAGACAAGAAAAATTTTTGAAATACAAACTAAGACATGAACATGAGTTTTCACTGAGTTGGACATATGTTGGTTGCATTCATCTCAGTGAGAATCCGATAACTTATCAGCTTTTCGTCACACGAAACTGGTCAGGACACCTACGATTCAATTACTCTTTGTATCATACATAGGTTAAGGATTACCGAGATATTGCTTAAGATCTGGAGTTTTAAATAAACTATGGGAGCGCAAAAACTCCGCCTGTAGCTCCTCTGGGGGTTACTGCAGGTCCCAAGCCCGGGTAAAGGAGGAGGGTTGGGCATGGGGTTAGCGACCCCATCCCGTAGAAAACCAACTCGCTAAAAAAACGCTAACCAGAAAAAATCTTTCAAACTCTGCCCTGGGAGTAGAAGGAATAATTATGACGTCTCATGATGAAAGCCGAATTCCTTCGGAAGTCATGAGGTCGATGCACCTTCTAACAGAGGCGAACAAGCAAGTGAAGAGGAGCATCAGAACCGACAAACGTAAATATGTGGAAGATTTAGCGATGATAGCGGAAAAGGCTGAAAGAGAGGGAAACATGAGACAACTGTATGATACAACAAAGAAACTTGCTGGAAATTACCGTGAGCCAGAAAGACCAGTGAAAAACAAGGAAGGCAAAGTAATCACGGACATTGAAGAACAACGAAACAGGTGGGTAGAACACTTCAAAGAACTCTTGAATCGACCAGCTCAACTGAAACCACCCAACATCGAAGCAGCACCCACGGACCTCCCAATCGATGTTGGCCTACCAACAATTGAAGAGATCAGCATGGCCATTAGACAAATCAAGAGCGGCAAAGCAGCGGGACCAGACAACATCCCGGCAGAGGCACTGAAAGCAAATGTAGCAGCATCTGCAAAGATACTCCACATTCTCTTTAGCAAGATTTAGGATGAAGAGTAAGTACCAAAAGACTGGAAAAAAGGTCTTCTGATCAAGATATCAAAGAAAGGCGATCTCAGCAATTGCGACAACTACAGGGGCATCACTCTCCTCTCAATACCAGAAAAAGCCTTCGACAGAGTACTGTTAAACAGGATGAATGATTCCATGGACGCCCAATTTCGAGATCAACAAGCTGGATTTCGTAAGGATAGATCGTGCACAGACCAAATCGCATCTCTACGTATCATTGTGGAAAAATCAATCGAATGGAATTCATCACTGTACATCAACTTCATCGACTACGAGAAGGCATTTGATAGCGTGGACAGGACGACACTATAGAGGCTTGTTCGACACTACGGCGTGCCTGAGAAGATAGTCAATATCATACGGAACTCCTATGATGGACTAAACTGCCAAATCGTCGACGGAGGACAACTCACCGACTCGTTTGAAGTAAAGACCGGTGTTAGGCAAGGTTGCTTACTCTCACCCTTTCTCTTTCTTCTGGTCATCGACTGGATTATGAAGACGTCAACATCTGGAGGAATGCACGGTATACAGTGGACAGGCAGGATGCTGCTTGACGATTTAGACTTCGCGGATGATCTGGCTCTTCTATCACAAACGCAACAACAAATGCAGGAGAAAACGACCAGTGTAGCAGCAGTAAATCTCAATATAAACAAGGGGAAAAGCAAGACTCTCCGATACAATACAACATGCACTAATCGAATTACACCTGACGGAGAAGCTTTGGCTGCTTAAACTCAGTTCTTGGCAAGAACAAACGGTTGACTGGGTATGCAACAGATGATTAGTTATCTCCTTGGTGGGTTGTGACGCTAATATAACGAACTATTTTTCAGCTTGATTTAGCCTATAGAGAAATTAAGTTACCTGTTACGATTACTACGTCTGAGCTCCTAATTTTCTAAACGTCAGAAAGCTTAATGTAAAACGGCATTTACTCCAGTCGGTGACGGAGTAGGTATAAAACGACGGGGAGCCAACGGGATTCACCTGACTTTCTGAGTTATTACTTTACTTGTAATCGAAAAGAGGAAAAGCACTGTCGCCAGTAATCTTTATAGGAAGATCTTGTTCTGCTTTCAGTGTCTAGTACAAGATCACGAAGGGTGTCGCACTGGGTATTTTTAGTCAGACGAGATTTATTGAATGACCACACTTGAATTCTGTGTGTGAGCTTAGGAGAAGCAACGTATGTCGATTGATCGAGATTCTATATTCTTAGTTCAACAAGCTTGTCGTTAGATTTGACAAAGGTTCTAGACATTGAAAACTCACTTATGTAGTTTGGAGCGACGTTTCGATACCAAGAATAACATTTCGCGAATTTAAATGGATAATTGAAAAAGCTGGATTAGTAATGATTTTGACAACATGGGAGCCCAATTGAAACCTCTAATACAGAACTACTCCAAGGCAGTCATAGCCTTTTTGTGAGTAGTTTACGGTGTGTTAGCGACAAGCTTTTAATTCTCTACAGCCGACACCAAAAGTCTGTTGGGAAGGGTGGGGCGTCTTAATTGCATGGTCAAGATTGACAGGCCGCTCTCTTCTGTTGTGGAGCCAGAATCGCTTGAGGCACTCGTTATCAGTGAAAAAATAACACGTTACTATCATCTTAGCAAAATGAGGTTGGCAGTACGACTTAGTAATCGAATTCTAGATTTTTTTATTCCAACGATTCTTGATTGAGTTATTTATTTGCTTGTAAACTTACTGATTTTGATGTTGGTTTGCCTTGTCCATGTCCAGTCTTTTGCTCAATTCGAATCAGAATAGGGTTTGTTTGACGACAGTTGTGACATAATTTTTCTTGTAAAGTGGCAATAAATTTAAATGAATGTAATGGAACAACACGATCATCATGATCTGCAGTTAAAATCAATAAAGCTGGATATTGAACATCTGAATTCGATGGAATCTTGACATTATGGAGTGGGGAAATGCTGTAAGAAACAAAACATGTACACATAATTTCTGTTACAAATTATTGCAACAATATACTCAGTGAACAAAAGTACAAGTATGTTAGTGATTAACAGACGTTAGTGATATTAATATGATGTTACAGATTATTCGGATTTTGCAACCATAATATTATTGATATTAATGAGCGTTTAGATAACTACCACTTAGAACCATAGAAGTATAAGATGCTGTGATTTTCTTGACCTATATTTCGCTTACGTCAGCTAGATCTAAACAAATTACTATCTTTTTACACAAGAACCAACCGTGAGATTAAAGATTACTCTAGATTTAAATTATTTCAACATCTTAAATAACTACTCTTATTGCTAAGTTAGTCATACTTGTAAGGGACTACAAAACCTACTAATATCAACTGAAGAATATGATTGGCTTATTCGTGGATTGGATCAGCTTGTAGTTTCTGTGATGAATTTTGAAATAGTGTACAGAAAAAGAACTGATAAATTTGGCAATCAACGCTGAGTCAGGCTTATACGACTCCCTTACAATACTGCGGTGTATATTTATCATAATGTTCAAAGTCTTTGAAAAAATAAACTGAGAGGAATAATAAGCTACACATTTTCTTCTTTTGGACGGTTTTGCGTTTTTAGGTATTCTCGAAATTTATTAAAGAGCCATAGGTTAATTTATAATTAATTTACCACTACAATAGTGAGTGCTCTGAGCCATTACATTTCCGTGTCCACCGATTTGGCTGTATGAGGTTTATAAGAGGGTGTTCACGAAATTTAATCACAAAAGGTTATCAACTAATTGATGTACATGGAATAGAAATGTTTAAATCAATCACAGCAGTTGCGATTAAGTACGAGTTAAATCATAAACATGAAAATGTCCCATAAATAGAAAATGAATGGATGATTTATAAATGGATTACCGCATCAAGTATGAGAAATCCTTTTTATTATCAGGATCTCCATAATCACTTTTCCAGGCATGTCCAATTGTAAATTTGTGGAATCTAATAAGGTCGCATACTGGAACTTGAGCAACAGCAGCTTTAAATAAATCAGGTCGTTGATTGCAACAGGCACAAACTAAAAGTCCGCCATTACTACCTCCTTGTATGTACAGTCTAAAAGTTTAAAAATGAATTTGTCCTTTTTTGTAAAAAAATTGGTGATTATAAAAACAAGCTAATCAACTAAAACTGTGGTTTGGATATTATCGTAAGTACCAAAACATGAATCTCATAAAACCAAAATAAATCGATAATGTGTACATAATATGGGAAACATATTAGAAATTTTACTTATTTATTTGAACACATCAATATTGATAAAAGGGGACACCAGATAGATATGAGCCACACAAAAAATTGTCATTTCATGTAATTGTGTGAGGGCTGTGATACTGCCCGGGTACTCAGACCGAAGCAGGTGGTTTCTTTACGAGACCACACCCGGAACCCTCGACCTAAAAGTATGATCCACAAGGCAGTGCAGCATCGTGAGGAGATGCAGTCCCATGGTAGCGGGTGACTAGCAATTGGTTCATGCGCCGTTCGTTCCATCAGGATACGGGAGCCCATGTGCACCATTGGTTTGGAATCAGAGTTTCTCAACTCCCCTAGATAAACTCACCGTGTCCACCGGCCAGGTTAGAGTGCCGGACATTCGCTTTTCGTTCTCTCACTTTCGTAAACAACACCCCCACCACGAGGAGGCACTGAGTAGGACTTCCCTGGCAGAGGCTGTATACTCGTGGCCGTGTGAGAGCATTTTAAGAGAGAGTGCAAGCCCTCCCCACTCTCGGCTGTACCAGGGCTACAAATTTAGCTAATTTATCAAACAAACGGGAAGTGTTTCGAAAATTCACTGGAGAATTTTTGCATACTATTAATATTTATTTGCAGTGTCTTACAACGACAGTGTACTCAGTACTCCTAAAGAATTCCCACGACAGAACAGTTACAAGTGTACTCAACTCCTGATTTTATCGTATCTGCAAAGACCTATAATTACGTGTTATTCATACAAATTCCTAGGGAACAAAAAGTAAGGCTGATTACAAGAAGCGACTGTTGAGTGAGGAAACAATATGGTCAAAAATGTCGAACTCTGTCCTTTGATGAGTTCACTGATCTCTGGAGTAACACCTGTGAATGATTTTACATAACAGTCACTGACTTGCTTTCTCGTAAATCTAAGAACAGCTGTCGCATCTAACTTACTTCCAAGAACTTATTATACCTAAAGGCAAATTCACGTTTATGAACAACCACCGACCTATTATTGAAACACCTAAAATAACGTTTATGTTCAATTTGCTATAATTCGTTATGATTAATAAGTGAAAATGAAAAAAACAGCGAACAAAAAGAAACTCGCTTTTGGTTGTTAGTATATCCATGATTAAGAAGGTATTCCGCTGCTGCTTGGAAATCATCGAAGGAGTTTTGTTTGTTTTGCAGCCGACCGGCATCATGCCAAGATTTTCCATATTCTCTATCAATTATCAAAGGAAATTATATGCGTGTGAGGAACAAGAGAACAAAAAAGTTGACTTTCTAGTTAACTAAACCACAACACAACCGCGTGAACCGATCAGAGTAATTGATTCAGACTAATAACTACATCGATCACCTAGTGATTTAATAAAAAGCACTTGTAATTAAATACCTACAATTTTCACCAGATATGCCTCAAAACTTAAGAATGGAAAGAATTGATATGTACTAAATTTTTAAACAAAATATTTATAGATCTTATATATATCATAAAGGGATTAAAAACAAATGATATTGGTGTATCTTAATCAGTTACATAGATCACAAACTACATGCCTAGATGGATACAATTAAAACTAATGACGCAGACTACCTAGCATTGTGAGCTTGAGTAGAAACTTTATACAAAACTGATAGAGTGGGCCAATCAGGAATCGCCAAGTGATCAGTGTAATCGAATAACCAAAGAATGGTTTTATTTTGCAAAGGATGAGACAACTACTAAAAGGCTAGATTTCCTAAGACATATATATGAGGGCATACACACGTGAATCGATTTAACCCAAATAAACTTCCTCACTCTTCATCTTTTCTCCCAGGTAGTCGGTTTTGTGTATGAGAGTGTGTATTAGATTCAATTATTGAACACCGCCCGTCAAAATAAATACAAATATAATGGAAAAAAACTGTCAAAGTAAAACTAACCCTCCACCACGAATGTTAGCTACTGCAACTATACCACCAAAATGCATCAAGAAAAACAATCGTCCAACCGAAAAAGATGGAGTAACAGATATGTTGAATCCACCATAACCGTAAAGTTGACACGGTGCCGAGTTGTTTTGTTGGAAGTTCTAAAAAGTAAAAAAAATGAAGGGAAATAGAGTAAATCGGAACAGTGAAGACTTTTCACGACGAAATGAATATTATTCAAATTGACTAAGCTATTATTTAGCGTAATTTCTTTAGCCTCTCCAGAAGGAGTAGCTAACTTGGCAACGTGAAAAGTGATGTGGGACACTAGTGTAGATATAAATGTAAACGGTGACTAAAATACGACAAAGTCGAAGGTTTTGATATATTTATTTATTTAATGCATAATCATTGGTACAGGGAGGCACCAAATAGATAAGTGCCACTTAAATCACTCCACTTATGCGAGAGCTGGGACACTGTCAGGGCGCCGAAACCGAAACCGGTGGTTTTCTTAGGGGGCCACACCCGGAGCCTTCAACCTAAAGGTATGAGCCACAAGGCAGTGTAGCATCGTGAGGAGATGCAGTCCCATGGTAGCCAGTGATCAACGATTGATTAATACGCCATTTGTTCTATCAGGATACTGGGGCCCATGTCCACTATTGGTTTGGAATCAGGGTTTCCCAACTCCCCTAGGTGGACCATCCGGTTAAAGCGCTGGACAATTGCGTTTCTTCCTCTTAATCTCGTAAACGATACCCCTACCGCGAGAAGGCACTGAGTAGGACTTCCCTGGCAGTGGCTGTATACTCGTGGCCGTGTGAGAGCATTTTAAGAGAGATGGCGGGCTCTTCCCACTCTCGGCCGTACCAGGGCATTTGGGGATCCTTATAATGTAACATTTTGAAATCTAAGTGATGATTTTCAGTTAATTTCCCCATTTTTCATTAGCGAGAGATTCAGCGTCGATGAAAAGTCGTACTTTATAGAAATACTTCAGATCGCGGTAATCATGGAACCAGTTAAGCGTTTAACTCTTGTTAGTAGTACATAGCAGAAATTAAGCGAAGTTGACGGTAGCTGTCTTGTCCGGTTTGTCACAAGACGTTTTGAGTTTAATAGAGGGTATAGACAGACATTAATTCAGTATTATCACAAATCTAAACAACGAGCACGAACTTTTAGAGATGACTGGTATTCTATTTAAAAGGTATTGAAAGATGGATGTGTGACAATACCGATAGGACAAGAGTTATATAGAGGTAGTGAATATATATATATATATATATATATATATATATATATATACTAAAACGTTAAATATTTATACTTACTTTAGGTAAAACAAGAAACATAGGAACTACAGTTTTATCTTTACTCTCATAGAATACTTGTTTCACTTCAAATTGATTTAAGTCTACATCCCGAATCTTCGACTCTCTGATAACCTGTCATCAAACAGTAACATCAACAAGTAAACTTGTATATATATGTAACAAAAGTAAAAAGGCATATAATATGTAAGATAGCTAAAACGTTTTTGATGTACGAATATGGTGGTAAAGTAAGATGATGAAGTAAAGTTCGTGACTACATTAATTAACGTAGAGCCAGTTACTTAACCAAGAAATACAAACAATGGAACGTGAACTAACACTAAGAATTTGATTATATTTTTTTTATAAGGATACCCATAAAAACTCACTACGAAATGAACAAAGCAATAATATGTAAATGATGGGTTGATAGTGTGTATGACCTGTGATTTATGTTTTGTGGACAAACCTACCCACTCCGTAGTGAAAAAGGCTGCTAGCATTAATTTTAGTAACTACTGGATAACAATACTCCGACCACATCGCTGACAACTTAGGTTTTAAAGAATTCATAGATTAAGTGAAATATGATACATCTGAGCAAGTGTTTAATCCCTACTTACGATTGTAGCGGTTCACAAAGTAACTTTAATTCACCAGTCAATAAGAGTGTTGAAAACTGCAGGGTACGTATAATGGTATTTCTGATTCGTAGAATTCAATACTAGTACACAAAAACAAGTAATGCCACAAACAATTCACTTGCCAAACTACTTACCTCCAATTTTGGATGGGAGTGAGAAAAATCATAGGAGTAAATTATTCCAGGAGTGAGGAACGATGTAAAATGAATGAAAGCCTACATTGAGAAAAATTAAATGTTTTATAAAAGATAAATTACAACCTACTTCATCATCACGTTTGCGTCCAGTTACATTAGCGACGTACCCAAGTGAAATATCAATATCGGATATCTTCTCCCCAGTGAGTAGTTTGTGCACGGATAAGCAGCTCTACAGCGAACAACAGTTAGAAAATATTACGTGTCCCAATATAAAGATTTTTTGGATGTACATAACATGTATAAAATATTTTCGGTATTTGTGTCCAGAATTCTGTAGTTGATGAAAGTGACAAAATGTCGATTCCGTGGACATTTCGTAAATGCCAGTGAGATAATGAAAGTTAATAACAATCGGGGTCATACAGAATAGTCGTCAGGAGCTTATCAACGAACCATGAGATATCCAGTAAAAGGAATGGATGATAAGTTGCCTGTGTAAATGCATGACGTAAATTGGGAGAAAAGACACTAGTTGGCCTAGTCCAACTTGATGAACTCATGCAAAAGTTAATTCTCATCCTCAATATGCCAAAGATTTTCTTTAAATACTGCACTACTAACTTGTGATTTCTATCAAGTTTCTGTTCACGAGGCATTATTCACTTAGAATAACTGGTTAATAGATATACAAACTCCAGAATTATTTTTTATTAAGCTATTTAGGTTAATGACTATATTTATGGAGATAATACAGAACTGACCTTAACATCCTTCAGACGACAAATGACCAATTTATCCTTATTCACACAAACTGCACTTTCTAAGAGTGACTCCACATTGTGATGGATAAGATCTTCCCAATTTTGCTAGAATATATTGGAAATAGAATTAGAACATTTGTTGTAAAAAAATCACTGAATAATTTGCCATGCATAGATATACATATAATATCACTTACATCAAGTACATGCCATTGCGCTAAGCCTGTTTTTGCACAGTTTGTATGAGGCCCAATTATACCAAGTGGCTCAAACAGAACAATTACAATAAAGTTCAGAATATGATCATAGAGTTAACCGTATTTGTCATTCTTATTTGGAAATGAAATGAAATTGTATGTATGATCACACATGAAAAGTGTTTACTTGCATTTGTTCACAATATAATATATATTTTCTACATTTAATAATTCGCGGAAAAGCAAAAGGTCATTTAACACCGTGACTACTTACTGAGATTTCATACTAGTTTGTGCATTCTAAAGCCAGGACAGAACGCTGAAAAGTCTAAGGAGAATCGACTACATAATTTTTTATAAACTATAGGGTCGTTTAGTGAGAAACGTCAGTTCCCAATAAACCAATCTTATGGTATTATAAGCAAAGATAGATGGTGGCTAGCAGTGGAATCCAAGACGCGCATTTCGTCATATTTGGGACCGGATGTACCTGCATCCCAGAGTTGATGTTCACCCCGAGACTCAAACCCAGTACCGTTCGCTTCAAACACCATCGCGTTATCCACTTAGGACGAAACACGCGTCCTGGATTTCACTGCTGGTCACCATCCATCTTTGCTTATAATGCTTGTGACATAAGGCAATATCGAATCGATACACACAGTATGCACATATGCTACTAAGAGACTGATCAACTGCAGTCCCAAACATCAATGGGAAGATTCAAGCAAACAATACCAAGTGAATTCAATCCTCTGGTGGTTATTTGATAATGGGTTGAACAGACTGAATATAATATCGCAAGATTATGATGGAATTTGACCATCAATATAATCTGTCTATAGCTATATTACTGGTAACCTCACAAAAAAAGATGCAATCTTCAGAATTGCTAGGAAATATGGCCAACAATTGAGGATAATAATCACAGTCACATACAGACAAACTTACACGATCGCAATTAGAAAGACTGATTTTGATTATCTTGTACATCGGAGCATCTAAGTTGGTGCGAAATACAAATGAATCACCCTCATTTGTCACATATTCATAGACAGCTTCAAAGCGATCGACGATTGGGATCAAGTCAAATTTTTCTAAAAAGAATTATCGTTAACACTGGTAACAGTTTCATTGAGGTTACTACGTAAAATGAACTACGGAGAATGTTTCAATATTTGATGTCTAGGTTTATAATACATTACTCTAGTGTAAAATGTGGAGAATAGAGGCTGACTGAAAACCAAACTATGCAAATATAAAACTGCATGTCATTACTCCTAAAAAATACATTCAATCATCTTATTGATTTACTCATAATAATGGTGTACAAATATATAAATCTTAAATATTCGTTGGAAATACATGGCGATGTTGCAGTGATTATGGTATTTAACAATTTAAATTAGTATTTGCTTTTCGCGTATTCAAACAGAGCACTGAAGACTATAACCACTAGAAATTATATTCATTAGGACAGAATCTATGTTACAACCAAAGATTAAATTCTATCTAATTTGTAGGAAGAGTTACAGTCGAGTTAAGGTACTTTGTCCAGAAAACCACTGATCATGTCAGCTGATTTACTGATCGTTATACTGCCCTCAGCACTCCATACAACTTCGTTTAACGTTTCTAGCCTCCACATCCCTGAAGCTTGGTTAACTACAAACATTTTTTATTAGCTTGATCAGATGCGTGAGGAAATGATAGAGGTAGTGTGTTCCTTTTTTTTCTGCATACGGTTGCTTAGAAAATAAACTAGCACTAAGTATTGTCCGCTGAGAGATAATATATACTATGAATTTGATATACGTTGATGGTAATACAAAAATTACTTAATCATTGGGTATACAGTAAAAATAAATGCTATGTTAATGCACAACTAACTTTTGCCAACTAGATCGACTTTTTCAAGATCACAGTAGAAAAGCTGGTTATTAGGTTCACATCCATCATACAAAGTTACCAATAAGTATCTCCCACAATCAGACACTTCTCCTTGACTGATATTTCAAAATAAATATAACATGAAAACATATGTTATAGTAAGAGATCATATCAATGAAACAAAGACATACAATCTTAGTGATTTCGATTTACGTGATATATATTAAGAGTACCAGACAATCTTGTGGAAGTGAAATATTAGAAAAACAATCAACGAAAATTGAAAACTGTTTAGACAAATAAATAAATAAATGAAGGTTATTCAGACATCAAATACGTGAAAAAAACCAAACCATCTTTAGTCATTGATTACTAATATCTTGAGCACCAGAAAAGAGAATTCTTAGTCTCTATTTGGCCCGGACCAACGGTCAGTGAATGTACAGACCAGAGTAGTGCTTTCTTAATCCTCAACCCTTGTTTTAACCCTAATTTAATTTACTATCGTATGCTACGGTAGATATGTTTACTATTTAGAGAGGTGAATACAAAATCAGGCTGAAGTACCTTTAACTAGCGCAAAATTCTAAGTTATACGATTATTACAGATTGATATATATATATATATATATATATATATATATATATATATATATGGCGGGTTAAATTATTCAAAGACAAGATTAAAAGTATTAGTAATACGGAAGTTATTATATGGATTAAAATAAACACCACGCATATATGCCGCTAACCAGAAATAGCTTAATGGACTTAGTTAAACCTTTATTGGACTTTTCTCACGCCTTTAGAAGGATAGCATCAGACGTTGGCAATGTGCCACTCATCTCAGTCGACCCACATTTACGACTAGACATAAATTGACTCCACACTCACCCTAAGTGCTGTTTGTTAGATGATTAAACTGAGGACTCTTACAAGCAAACACCTGCAACCTAATATTCGACATTCAACCACATTTTAAGGGGTAGGATGAAACTTTTAGATACATGTTGCTAAGCAACAGATTCGGGATTTGTATGTCATACATGCATACCAAGTGAGATCAATTGCAACAGGAAAAGAAATTATTTTGCCACTGCTAAAATAAAGCTTGAAAGCATGAAGCTAAATAACTGGTCTTAGGAGGTTTTCATACAAGTCAATGTGGGACAGCACGTACTTTAGAAGTAGGCTAAGTCAATAAGTGAATGATTAAAAAATTTGTCATTTGAACTAAGACTTTTGTTTATACGCACATATTCCAAGTAGGTTGATCCGGTCGTTCCAGGAACAAAATATCATCTGACTGTAATGTACCCAGACGATGGTACATGAGCTTCTGATCAGTATTAGTAGTTGTTTCAGTACCATCTGCTTTACCTTCATGCTGAGGGTACATACAGTAAAAAACACCTTTCTCATCCTTTGTCCATGAAATTGAACTGAATTTGACATGATGCAAAACATCTGGAAGATCTTCGCCCGATTCACAGGTTTTAAACTAAGAAAACACAGTAACAAAATGTAAACTTACTTTAAGTTTACACCAATCAGAACCACCAAAACTAAGACCATAACAACAGTAAGTTCCTTCCACTGAAAAACTGTAGTTTCTCAAAGATGTAAGGCCTTCTGGATCAATTTCGTTAGGATCTAAAAATGTTTTTTTCGGTCCTGACAACGTTTTCATTTGGTAAAGAACACTAACAAATCCCTCTTCAAATAAGAAAGTACCTTTGATTTTGTAAACCACTGTTATGCCATATGTAGTAAAAGGAGCCATATTTCAATGGGCAAGAGTATTTTTCGTAGTCCCAGATAGCAGTTAATCTAAAAACATAACTGAAAGCAATGCACTTACTTATCTCTAATTTTTGAAGTGTATGGACATTTATTCAGGAACTGTTCCGTTATCAGATTTTGTGCCTTTACAAAAGCTTTTGTCCGGACAGAATCCGGGTCTTCCAGCCATCTGTAAGGATCATGAATCTGGCCAGGAAGGAAAAGGTCACTTTGTAAACAAATTAGGTAAGTCTAGTCAAACCGTAAGTAGAGATTAGTCTACTTCACACTAGTAATTTCCGCGTTACAAAGTGAACATACAACATATAAAATCATAATTAAGTATATAATTTGATGTCAAGACATAAATTGTCAATAGGCTAGTTCTCTACTGTAGTTAGGGTACTAAACATTACTATTATTGTACTTTCTTACTGTGTATTCAATTCACAAAATAAGCCTTACGAATTTTTGCACATGTATGAACTTAAGAATGATTAGTAATAACTGTATTTTGAAAAATTTAATTTTCCGACACTAATTTATCGAATGTGAAAAAACCCGGCCATGAATTTCGGATAAACCATTCGCGTGAGAAATTATTGCTAAAATATCAACAAATTAATATAGGTTGAGTCTTTCCTCATTCCATACACAGCGAAAAATGATCGATCCTTTGCAAAACTATTTACTCTGATACTAGAAATATTTAAAAATTGAATAGACCTTGCATATTACGGTTAGTTCATTGGGTCAAATTGACTAATCATAATTGCTGACTAAATTTCAAATTCAAAAATATCTCACGCTACTAAACTGTATTAGCCACGAAATACAAAACTGAAATACGCCAGTTAAGTACTCCAGGGGAATCTTGTGTACTAGTTTCTGGTTATGAAATGATCACAAGGATTTTTACTACGAGCTTAGTCAGCCACTCGGTCAGTCGAACGCAGTCTAGAACCTAGCATATGTATACATCGGTTCAAGTTTCCATACCCCGTTAGCGTACAGAGATGAAATTGTCAGGGTGAATCCCATAGTTGTAGAGATAACAGAAGTATTAGTGGTAATAGAAAAGACTAGGTATATAAGATGCGATTAAACAAAATATAATTTAGTGATATAAAAGGAAAAATGTATGAAGAATCTAGAACCTTAGCATCTAAGGAGAGACAGAGTGAATGTACCTGCGCCATCTCTAACAATTGGTTACCATAATCACGTGGACCCCAACCAGATGATTTACATGTACCTACACGACTTAGTCCAACAGTCAGTGTCGTTATGTGTTGATACCATGTCTTCGTTTGACCGTCCCCTACTTTCTCCTAACCTACTCCTGTTTCAGCCATTATTGCGCGTCGAGGTGGTCGGTGGATGGGTTTAGGTAGTACATATTCTGACCATTTCAGTCAATAGGGATTCAAAAATTACATGTAATACGCCTTTTGTTTATAGAAATCTTATAAAGACATTAAAAGTATTGTTTTAGAATGATACAACCTTAAGGAGTAGTTAAAAAATATGAGGAAAACAATTCACCTACTTGAACACCGAATTTTTCCTCTATAGTAGATTCACCCTTATATATTTCGGGATAGTTGATACTGGTATGCTCCATTGAGACTACAAAAAATCACGGACTTTTATTTTGTGTTTTTACCCAACATTTATATTTATAAAAAATTTTGGGAATACGATTTTCTGTTTAAATTACCTTGAAAATCCCTATTTGATTCATTATGGTAGTAAGGCTATCATCAACTGATAAGTTTCTACTGTGGAGCGAACTAGCACCTAAAATTATTCATAAATCACACGTTTAGGTAATCCCTAAAAACTCACAGTTAAAGTGAGGAAGTGACTGATTTGAATGAATAAATAGATTATCTAGGCGATGTTAACTTTAGTACATAAATTAGTCGAGCACAAACAAAAGATTAACACGCCACACACACAAATGCTTGTACGTGATACATATTTTTTATACAACGATGCTTATGTAGCGACAAGAATTCGTAAAAACATTGACGTTTCGCTTATTTAGCGTTATATTCATGAGAAACGACTTGTGTATCTAATAGCTATGAGTATGATAGAATTGCGGAGAACTAAAGCGAGGATAATGAGTAATTTTATAGGATTTCTAATTCAGAATAAACAGTTGATCAGAGATGATATAGAAACCACTTAATAATTAATGAGGTTGAACCAGCATACGTTTTGTTGTTCGGTGATAGCAGAAAACTTATCCCATATGCTAAATAAGTACTCAATAACTACACAGCTTAAACACAATAATAAGTTTATTTTGTTTGAAACTAGTAGGAAGCATTTGAACTTGAGATGTGTACTGTACACAAATCCAGTAAATACTCATAATTGCTAGGTCAGAAATACCCAAGTCTAGGACAAACGAAGTGTGGCGCAGTGCTTAAATGAGCCTGACTCCCTGACATCGTACTGCACATTTCGATTAATATGAAGGTTTCCGACTTAGAACTACTAAAATACAATGCAAATCAAGAATTGACTGCTAATTAGTGTACATCTTTGTATGTTGTTTGTGCAGAATGAGTTGACGACCCTTCCCAATCTGCTTCCTAATACTCAGTTGTATACTAGTGTAACACATGAGCATGGGTGTAGTTTTGAGTAACTTCGTAAGTAGGTATAAGATTAGCTGATTTTATAATTAATATACTGACTTAATGGGTTTATCAAAGGTAATACACTCATTTAGTAGTCTTCAATTCTGACTAAGTTGCCAATTAAGTGATGTATCATTTCCCCCAAATGCCCTGGTACATCCAAGAGTGGGGAGGGCTGGCACTCTCTCTTGAAATGCCCTCATACGGCCACGAGTATACAGCCTCTGCCAGGGAAGTCCTACTCAGTGCCTCCTCGTGGTGGGGGTGTTGTTTACGAAAGTGAGAGGACGAAAAGCGAATGTCCGGCACTCTAACCTGGCCGGTGGACACGGTGAGTCTATCTAGGGGAGTTGGGAAACTCTGATTCCAAACCAATGGTGCACATGGGCTCCAGTACTCTGAGTGAACGAACGGCGCATGAACCAATTGCTAGTCACCCGCTACCATGGGACTGCATCTCCTCACGATGCTGCACTGCCTTGTGGACCATACTTTTAGGTCGAGGGTTCCGGGTATGCTACACAAATGCTCGCAGCCTACAGAATAAAATGGTGGGGCTCAAGACAATGGTGAATATAGGAAACCCGGATGTCAATGCTATTTTAGAAACATGGTTAACGTTAGAAGTGTTTGATAATGAAATTCAGTTGACTGTTGTTTATCCAGTAGGGCTGATATGCTAAACCGAAGGAGGAAGTGAGGTTATCCTGTACACAAAAAGTACCTTAACCATACGAGCTATTGAGACAGTGGAACATGATTCAGGGACATATGAACTGGTGCTTTGCAAGCTGAAATGTAGACGGCAAAATATTGAATTTTTTGTAGTATACCGCAGTCCATAATGTGTATAAGATGACGTCCTCTTAAGCAAACTTACGTCCTGGTGTAATAGGGGTAAAATTCATAGTAAGCGGCTTTAATGAACCGTATATAAACTGGGTAAACTTAAAAGTGGGGTCATCAACAACGTCATGTGATTGCATATTGTTAGAAATCATAATTGCACTATCTTTATTCTAGCACATCAGAAATCCCACCGGATATGACTTAAGCTCCTCATCTCTCTCGAAACAGCAAGTACTATGGAACGCTACAGGTCGGTAAAAAACAAGTATATAATTAAAACCCGGGAAGCTCAGAGAAAATATGAAATGCAATCTGCACAATCCACGATCATGCAGCCTAAGAGACTATTCTCGTACATAAATTACAAAGTAAGGATGCAGTACTGGATTCCCAGCTTTATTGAGGAAGGGAGCGGATCCGAAGTGATAGAGGATGGTCAGGAAAAACCAAAGGATATGGCAAACTATTTTGTGGCAGTTTTCACTCAGGAGCCTCTTCTAGACGAAGAACTAGACCTAAATACTAAGTCAACAAACCGTCTGCCAACCATGGACTTTGATCGAGACGATGTACTTAAAGCTCTTAGCACTTTAGACACGGAAAAATCAACAGGATCGGATGAACTACGCTCAAAAATCCTGAGACATATTGCACAATATATTGCAGCCCTCACACAAATCAAATGAGATTTGTGCGGTGCATATATATACGGCGAACCTTTGTACCAATAGTTGTGTTTAAATAATAATAATAATAAAGCCCCACTAACTGTGATATTTAATGTCGCTTAACCAAAGTGTGTTAACTACGGGCTGGAAGGACGTTATCCTCACTCCATTATAAAAAACAAGGCCAAGGCAACTTCCATCAAACTACAGACCTGTCAGCCTCACCAGTGTCGTGGCTAAATCCTGGAAAGAATAGTCAAAAAGACCATAATGACATTTGTGAAAACCAACAACCTGTTAAACAGCGAACATGGTTTCACAAAAGGTTTATGTTGCACAACAAACCTACTTATAGCAAGGAAACAGTGAATAACGGCTCTAGACAATAGAAAATAACTGGATGTTGTCTACATAGACTTCAGTATAGCGTTTGACAAGGTTCCAACAAATAGACTGCTATTGAAGCTAGATAATCTTGGCATTGCCGAACCTCCCCTAAAATGGCTTAAGCATTTCCTAGTAGGTCGTAGACAGAAAGAAAAAGTAAATTCGAAGTGCTTCACCTGGAGACCAGTACTTAGTGGAGTACCGCAAGTTCTGTCCTAGGCCCTTTACTTTTTATACTGCATATAAATGATCGCCCAAGTATAGTTGAATCCCCAATGTTATTATACGCTGATAATGTAAAAATCTGCCGAGAAATAACGAGAGACACGGGTGTATGTGCACTTCAGGTAGACTTAAATATTGTGGTTAGTTGGTCTAAAGAGTGGCTGATATCCATCAATGCGGCAAAGTGTATCTACATGCACTTTTGGGATACAGAGGTAAATAGGTACAACATAGGGGAAGTGCCCGTACCCATGGTGTGGTCTCACAAGGATCTTGGGGAGACAGTGAGTCATGATGTTTAGACCACGGTCCACTGCTGGGAGGTTGCAGCTAAGGGGTTTGGAACCCTATGGACTTTATGACGGACATTCACCAAGTTAGATACTATTATGTTCACCACAGTACACACAATCTTATTCAGAACTAAGCTTGAAAACTGCGTTCAGGCTGTAAGCTCCTGTTTTGAAGGTGACTCGAGTATCCTTGGAAAAGTACAAAGGTCAGCTAGACGTGCGATTCCAGAACTCTGGGGTCTACCATGTAAAGAGCGGTTGGAAAAGTTAGACCTCTTTACTGTCCTATCGCAGATTAAGAGGTGATCTGACTTTAATGTACAGAATACTAGTAAATGATTTTGGGCCTAATATTCCCTCTTTTTCGTCCACTAGATCGGGACATCTCAGAGGACACAGGAGGCGAGTAGAAAATCCAAGAACGAACAAAATACCCGTGGCATACAGGTTCTCACACCGAGTCAGTAATTCTTGGAACCTGTTACCAGATGCAGTGGTGTTCTTACCTTCAATTGATCCATTCAAATGAAGACTAGACACTCACAGAAGCATACTAGAGAAGAAATAACATAGGCCGTAGGCCTTTTATCGTTACTACAAATCTGAAATCTGATTCAAATGTCTGAGTATTATAGTAAGTGTTTATGGCGAGACTAAAGAACATGGACGAGCCAATCAGAAGCTCGCACTATGATTTTAGAACTTCTGAACCTATATCTGACCTTGATAAATTTTTGATTCATGTAAAAGAACAGTATCCCCTTTAATTTTTGAGTTTTATATAATATATTTTTACTGTATGCTAACTGTCTTCTGATTGGCTAATATTTCTCAAGGTCATTTAAGATTAGTTCACAGATCGTCCATGTTCTTTAGTCTCGCCGTGTTTACTAACCAGAAAACAGCACATAATATTGATGAAATATGAGCATGAACCAACTATATTATTTGGCAGTTTTCAATGTAATTTAGACATGGTCTTCAATAATGATTTTATTTCGAGATAGTAAAATGGTTCGGTTTATGATAGGCTACTTAAAATAAACAGCGTGCTATCCTTACCCACATATTTGATAAGACCTACCACAAAAATATCTGCTAATGTGGAGTGACATACAGAACAAAGTATTAATGTGGCATTACCGAACGAAATCACAGCACGACGCAGCGTCAAGGAATGACCTCGAAGCAATGAGTTGCCGACTCTTATAACTACCGGTAGAAACATCAGACTAACAAAACAACCAGACGACTATGATGTTAGACAACAAATATAAGCAACAAACCATAACTATTTTGCCAGAAAGTATGAACCAGTTGATAAATTTTCATTAGTCTGTAACCACAAAATAAAGTTTCATACTCAGTTTCTGTTCGGAAACGGCTGAAGGTTATGTGGTCTGTTTTAGTTCCGGCGATAGTGACTTCTCAGTTGATCCAACTCTCACGTGAAAGCGTTGACAGATGAAACTTTAAGCACGTGTTGAGGTAATGAATTCCATTTCCTGACAGTCAGCTGAATGGCAAGTTGTTTTGTGGCTGTAAAGTTTTTAGCATCTACCTAAATTCTCTTCTGGAAGACAAGGAAAGTGAAGGTAAATCAGATGCAAATTTATCACTAAGCAACTAAAACTCTGGTCAATTAGTCTCTGGTTCTTCTGCTTGACAAGGAAAATTGTTTAGTGTAGCCGGTCCATCACATCGGAGCCTTGCGATTCCGAGAATCAACTTAGTCGGGTTTTTTAGAACTTGAAACTCTAAACTATCACCTTTATCTTTTGTCGCTCCTCATGTCTTAACATCGTCAGGATATAACAATTCGGTCTACCACCAGAAGAAATAGAAAGGGGGAGAGTAGGTTGCCTTTTCTGACTCCGGTCCTCATATGTAATGTGCTTGTCAGCTATCCTCCATGCACCACTTTGCAGTGTGGTCCATCGTATGAATTCCGTATGGTGTCGACGATCATCTTAAGTACACCGTAGTGTAGAGGAAGGTTCCATAAGGTTTGTCTACCCATACTATCAAAAGCTTTCTCATAGTCAAGGACGTTGATAAGTAGTGACGAGTTTCACTCAACTGATTGTTCCACGATGATCCGTAGTGTCGCGATTTGGTCTGTACACAACCAATCCTTACGGAATCTGGTCTGTTGATCTGGAAGCTGGGCGTCTACTGAATGTCCCATTTGGTTCAACAACACTCTGTTGAAAACTTTTCCTGGTACTGATGCTAGTATGATGCTTCCGTAGTTTTCACACATGCTCAGATCTCCTTTCTTTGGTATCTTGATGAGATATCCTTCTTTCCAGTCGGTCGGCAATTCTTCTTCCTCCCAAATCTCTCTGAAAAGAATCTGGCATATGTTTGAGGTTACTTCTACGTCCGCCTTCAATGCTTCAGCTGTGATATGAACCGTGAAACAAGAAGCCTTAACAAATTAAGAAAGCTATTTTTGGGGACGTTAATTCATTTAATTCAAAGCTTGTAAAACTGTAACATTTACTTTTGCCCCTAGTCTATTCTACAGATCATGAGCTTTCGTTTGATGTATAATTCACTGCCATAGCATTTTCTGTTCTAAAGCTATTGTAACCCTTTCTATTCTATTTTCTACTACAATCCCCCAGTTTTGGACATAATTGTATTTTCCTAATTATTGTACGTTGTGGTCAGGTTATTCATCCTTTTATTCATGTAACTTTTCACCCTAATCTGAACTGGGAATTCGAGTGCTAGATCGGGGTTGGAATTAAGTGATTAGTGTTCCAGCTGTCTTTGTCTTCCCTTTCTCTCTCGTGCTTGCCAACCAATCAGGGATAGAGTAGTTTTCGTCTCTCTACCCCCATTTCGAACTCACACATACTAGCCTCAAGGTTAGCCGGTCAGCCTATCGGGTCAAGGTCTTGTTCTACATTAGACAAGTCATACTCGGTACTAAAGTGGGTAGACAGATTCAAGGACGTGTTAAGCTGATATTTTGTCAGGTCACTACTCAAGGATTCACAATACCAAAGTTATCACCAGCACATAACCTTAGTTCTAATCCTTTTTCAGCTTCTCGTCTTTTTATATGCTCGCCAAAATTTAATGGAAACTTCCTATCCCTTCAGTTCATGTCCAGTCTTTAATAATATGTCCTTTTCAGTAGAAGATTTAAATATCACTTTCATGAGCCTGGTTTGGTTTTTCTTTCAAGTTCGTTTGGCTACCTAATCTACAAACCATCAGCAAGGTGGCCCCAGAGATATCTTTTGGCACTACCTGGTTAAGTAAATCTTTTATCATCATCAGTTTCATGCTCAACTCCAGTTCTGGGTTCTGAGATTTTACTCTCCCTGACTCTATGAAAGACAACTGACCTGTCGCTGTGATCACTCCTTAATTTTTTCAGCTACTGCATTGGGATCGAATTTTCTTTAGCAACATTAGGTCGTCTCTTTTTCTCGATCCATACCCATTCGTAAACTTCACTTGGAGTAGCGATTACAGTCTCGTATACACACTGTGAGATCCTAGATGAATGTCGATGACCTGGATGATCAGGTTGTGGTTTTCCCTGGCAGAGACTAAACCGACATTGATAACAGGTCTTTTAGATTTTTCCTGACTGTTGCTGTTTGGAGCGCAGGGAACAGAAGAAGCTTCCTTTCTTGAGTTTTTATTTCTAACAGACCTCCTTATAGGCCATCCTTCCTCCATTGGCCCGTGTATGTCAATCGACTATGAACTTACTTTATGTAACTTCACATCAATCTGTATTGCGCCTGATAATACTCTTTTTAGCAGCATTCTCCATTGTAATGACTTCGGATAGCAAGCGTTTTGCGTCCAAGAAGCACTGCCAACACAACTACATGTGGTCGTTCTTACCAAACCATTTGAAAGCTGCAGATGTTAGATCAGCACAGACTTCACGATAACGTCATTTGCGCTTATCGTACTGCAAGTCACTTTCCACGGATAATCGACTGTCTGGGTGTTAAAATTGTGTTTTACTAATAAAGGACCCAGCTATTCCTATTGCTTAGTATTCTTATACGATGACAGTCGACAAGACCCCAAAATCAGAACACGTTGAACAGGAATGAAATTGTATTCAAAATAATGATAAGTGAACAGCAATCACCAGTTTAAATAACGTTCAATAATTTATAGTATATACATAAGAAGTTCCAGAGGAGCTTGTAGCTCCTCTGGGGGTTACTGCCGGTACCAAGCCCGGGTAAAGGAGGAGTGTTGGGTATGGGGTTAGCGACCCCATCCCGTAGAAAACCAACTAGCTAAAAAAACGCTAACCAGAAAAAATCATTCAAACCTTTCAAACTCTGCCCTGGGAGTAGAAGGAATAATTATGACGTCTCATGATGAAAGCCGAATTCCTTCGGAAGTCATGAGGTCGATGCACCTTCTAACAGCCAAAACATCAATTTTTATAGGTACATGGAACGTCCGGACAATGTGGGAGACCGGAAGAGTCTTCCGAATTGATGCAGAAATGAGAAAATACAACCTGGAGGTGCTTGGAACCAGCGAAACACATTGGACGCAGGTTGGACAACAACGACTATCTTCAGGAGAACTTCTGTTATACTCCGGTCATAAAGAAGAAAACGCCCCACATACACAAGGAGTTGCATTGATGCTGTCCAGAAAAGCACAAAATGCACTTATTGGGTGGGAATCTCATGGACCAAGGATCATCAAAGCCTCCTTTAAAACACAGAGAGAGGGCATTAAAATGAACGTCATCCAATGCTATGCACCTACCAACGACTACGGTGAAGACGCTAAAGACCAATTCTACGATAGGCTGCAGTCGATCTTCGAGAAGTGCCCAACCAAGGACCTGATAATTATGATGGGAGATCTCAATGCTAAGGTTGGAATGGACAACACTGGATACGAAAACGTCATGGGACAACATGGACTGGGAGAAAGGAACGAAAATGGTGAGAGATTTGCAAACCTATGTGCCTTCAATAAACTGGTCATAAGTGGCACCATATTCCCACACAAAAACATACACAAAGCCACTTGGATTTCACCGGATCACACTACACAGAATCAAATCGACCATATCTGCATCAACAAAACGTTCAGGAGGACGATGGAGGATGTGAGAACCAGGAGAGGAGCTGATATAGCATCCGATCATCATTTGCTGGTCGCCAAGATAAAACTAAAACTCAAGAAGCACTGGACAAAGGCGCGGACAACATCACAAAAGTTTAATACGGCCTTTCTTCGAGATGCTGACAAACTCAACAAATTCAACATAGCCCTCAGCAACAGGTTCCAGGCCTTTTATGATCTACTCAATGGAGAGGGGACTACCATGGAGAACAACTGGAAAGGTATCAAGGAGGCAATCGTTTCAACATGTCAAGAGATTCTGGGCCAAAAGAAGCACCATCACAAGGAATGGATCACTGTTGGTACACTGGATAAGATTGAAGAAAGGAGGAACAAGAAAGCAGCAATCAATATCAGCCGAACCAGAGCGGAAAAAGCCAAGGCACAAGCCGAATACACAGAGGCAAACAAGCAAGTGAAGAGGAGCATCAGAACCGACAAACGTAAATATGTGGAAGATTTAGCAACGACAGCGCAAAAGGCTGCAAGAGAAGGAAACATGAGACAACTGTATGATACAACAAAGAAACTTGCTGGAAATTACCGTAAGCCAGAAAGACCAGTGAAAAACAAGGAAGGCAAAGTAATCACCGACATTGAAGAACAACGAAACAGGTGGGTAGAACACTTCAAAGAACTCTTGAATCGACCAGCTCCACTGAACCCACCCAACATCGAAGCAGCACCCATGGACCTCCCAATCGATATTGGCCCACCAACAATTGAAGAGATCAGCATGGCCATTAGACAAGTCAAGAGTGGCAAAGCAGCGGGACCAGACAACATCCCGGCAG